CTGCCGGGCGGTCTCGCCCGTGCATCTGACGCTCCCCGCTTTCTGCCGGGCGGTCTCGCCCGTGCTCCTGACAATACCCTTTGCAAATAAGTCTGCCCGGGTTTTTTGGTGGGCGTGGCCAAGGGCGTTATTTTGCATAAAGATATAACCTTGGCCTTAATCAAAACCCTTACGCTTGCACCATTGGATCCAACCGTCAATAATAAGAACTGTATGTGCCTAGTAAGTGTTTCCTTTAATCGTGCCCCAATCCTTTTCCCAAAAAATACCCGGGCCTTTGCCGGCCAAACCAAAAAAACAACCCCAAAACATCCAGCCCTTCCTTCTTTGTATTTTGTCAATAACGCAAGTAAAATTAAGGCCTTCCAAAGGTAACCGGGTAACCATTATTTTCCTATGCCGGCCGGGCTTAACCCAAATTTCGTTTAACCAAAGGATTTTGCCCCAATCTTCGAATGTCCAATAAAAGTGTTCGTAAGCAAAAGCAAACCAAAATTAACGGTTTTTTTCGCTAATCGGAAGCTTCGGATAAACCGCGTATCTTTTGTATCCTCGGCGGCGAAAGGCTCTTCGAACTGCATATGCACCAAAAAGCCCGTTAAAAAAGATTAAAGCAAGCTAAAAAAAAAACATACGTCGATTTTGCTTGGAATAGGAGATGAATTCGATAAAGTCGTTTGTTTGTATTTCCGAAAATAAGCCCGGCCGGCCGGCCCGGGGTTAAACGAAAGGAACGTTAATTGCAATGCGCACTTAACTGCGAGAAAAGCCCGTAATTTGCTCGATTTGGGCTTGGGTATACTTTGCATTTTTATACAAAGTCCGCACACGAAATCGGTCGTTGTTTGTTAATTGTTTTTTAGCCATATTGGATGCGTTGGATAAAAAAGAAAATGGAAGGGGTGGGGTGCACAATACGAAAATGCACGCGTTTAATCGATTAAAACGCGCCCGGGCTAATTCGAATTGGTGCATAGCCGATTTGTAAGTAATTATTGAAAAATATGTGAGCTAAGCCTTATTTGGTAAGGGCTGAAAATAGCCTACCCTGGTTGCAACATGCCCCACGGCGAAAACTTTTGCCTGACACCTCCGTACACATTCCCTAATCTGCAAGCCGCAGCCGAGAACGTTGGGTGTCGGATCTTGGATGGTAATATCCGGGCCGCCGCTTGGCAGCTGGATCAGCATCGTAGATTGCTCGACATGTGGTTCAGGGACGGTCACGTGGCTCGGGAGGAAGTATCAAGCTTAACCTGCAAGCGGGGCGTGGGCCTAGCGCTGTGGAGTCAAGCCCTATTAGGCGCGGACATTCTGCCTCGGGAGTGGGTCAGGATTGTTGGCGCCTTTTTTTCTTTTCTTTTCGCATGTGGTCGTCTGTAGGTATTGCGCAACTGGTGGCGTTCACGCCGTTCCATCTCCGTGCTCGCCCTTTTGAACTGGCGCTAACCGTCGGAGCAAGCGCCCATCGGAAGGACAGTAGTGGCTGATGCGGTATGCAAGAACATGAAGGTGACGCAAAAAAAAGAAAAACTAACACGAAAAGAAGAAAGAAGAAAAAAGAAGGCGCAGGCAAAACGAAGCAGGCTAAATCAAAGAAAGCAAAGAAAGGGCCAAGAGGTGGGCTGAGTTGACCCAAACGCAATTGGTTAGCTTTGTCCTGCACAATTTCCGGGTGCGTCGCGCGCCAATCCCACCCACACACGCCCCCTCTTGCGCATGCAAGCGAAAAAGGAACGGTCGCGATGCCAAGAAAGAGTGAGGGGTGGTGTGGTGACGGTGGTGGCCCCACGACAAAGCGAAACGAGTCCGAGTGCATACAGGAGGGAGGAGACCCCCGAGACATGGGGACTGAGCGTTCGTGCGTGAAACAAACTACAGAGCCGCAAGCGAGGACCATAATTCGGAAATCTACGTGGGAACTCAGGAACAAGGAATCAAATGAGAGACATCACGTGAAGTCAAGGACCATGTTGTAAGGGGTGGAAAATGGAAATTAGGGGTATTTGCCAACTATCTTCAGGTATCCATCATATTACATAACTTGATGCCCAAAAAGGGGATGAAGATCTTCCGTCATGTTCAGTCACAAAAGAGAATGCTTCCTGCTGACACCATTTTACAGGGCCAGCCAGGCAGCGGCCGCGAAGAGAGACGCAGCCGCGACGTTGGCAAAGGCAACACGGCCGGCGCCTGCGGTGACCGGGGGAGGCTTGGGGGCGCCAGTGTCGGTGGGAGGCTTGACGATGGCGACGGTGCCGTGAGGAGCGCTGCCACCGGGCTTGCCGCCAGTGGGGAAGGGAGCAGACTGAGTGGGCTTGGGGCAGCCAGGGCAGACCGGCATGATGACGGTGTGAGGGCCCGGGATCGGGGTCTTGGTGGTGCCCGTGGGCGCAGGCGGCAGAGGCACGAAGCCGCTGGTAGGGTGGTCAGGCGGGCAGTAGGTGGTGTACGAGGTGTGCGTGGCGGTCACGATGGTGCCGTTGCCGTAGTGAGGAGTGGGGTTGGCAGTCGTGGTGGGAGTCACAGTCGAGGTCGGGCTCACAGTCGTGGTCGGCTTCACGGTCGTGGTCGGGTTCGCGGTCGTGGTTGGCTTCACGGTAGAAGTCGAGGACGACACCGGGGGCTTGACGCTGCCAAAGGGCTCTCCGGTGACGGGGTCACGGTACCAGTTAGCGGCCGGGTCGCCCAGGCACTCGCCAACGGTGACGAACTTGAGGCCCTTGGCGCGGGCCTGGTCAATCATGCGCTTGACGAAACCGTTGGCGGTGAACTCCTGGACATCGTGCGACAGCGAAATGTACGAGTTGGTCGCAGGGTTGGCCGACGACATGGCCTGGGTGAAGATGGTATCCGAGTTGGTCTGGACGTCCCAGTCAAGGGTGTCGAGGTTGTAGTCGACAACGTGATAGGCAAGCTCTTTCAGAACCGAGTAGCACTGCTCGTCGCAGGCGGTGTAGGGGGGGCGGAAGTAGGTCGGCACGAAGCCGAGAACGTCGGCGAAGATGGCCTCGTTCTTGACCAGCTGCTCCTTGATCTCGGCGCGGCTGATGGTGGTGAGATCGGGGTGGCTGAAGGTGTGCGAGGCCAGCTGGTGGCCCTCCTTGTGCATGAACTTGACCAGGTCGTGGTACGCCGGGCGGGTCAGGCCGGCGAAGGGGCCGTTCTCGCCGACGATAAAGAAGGTGGCCTTGACACCCTCGCTCTGCAGGGTGTCGACAATGGTCTTGGTGAGGGAGCCCGGGCCGTCGTCAAAGGTCAGGGCGATCTTGCCCGGCGTGGTGCAGGGCGAGACACCAAGACCGAGGCGGGAGCCCCAAGGCACGCTGCCGAATAGCGGCCTCGGCATATCCCTAGCCTCCAGGACGGAGGACGTGGGGACAGCCACGGCCAGCGGCGCGAGAGCCGCGAGGGTAAGGAGAGAAACACTCTTGAGAGACATTATGGTATGTAAAACCGCGAAGCAAGCTGGTTGGAAAGACGAAACGAAGGACTGATCAAAAGATGATCTGAATGCTGTATAGCGAGAGACAAAGGTCGGTTTGCGGGTGGGGAGAAAGAAGGGGAGAGTGAAGGCAAGCAACGACGAGGCCCTCGACTTATAGATGCAGGTTGGATGCCACACCATGCAGGTACCACGCACAATGGGGATATTACCAGGGGCAACGAAGGGGATGTGACTCCTGTACGTTGGCTACCACCGTGCCCACTCACTCTCCCTACCCCCCCTTGCCTCAAGGCTGGCTCGCCCGTCCACCCGGGATCATCTTGCCGCGGTCATCTCCTACCGCACCAATGCTGACGGCGCACTGATGAGTCCCTGTCGATTCCTTGGTCTTTTCCATCTGTCTGGGCTTCGGGGAAGCCCAGACAGACTACTTGCCCGTCCACTCGGAGTCTTGCCAGATTCTTGGGACTGAAGCGAGATTCGCCGTTGTGCGGGCATCCCCAGGTGTCCGAGCAAGAGCACCGTTGTTCTTTTTCTTCTTTTTCTTCTTTGTCTGTTGCTGGAGCTAAGCCCTCCAGCTTGCCGCCCTCTTCGTCCCAACGTCTGGCTGTCGAAGGCAGGTAGCATGCAACATCCCTCGTGAAGTGGGCATCACGATGCCTTCCCAAGCCTCAGACAGCCGTATTCATGCTGGCGGGACCCAGCCCTTGCAGTTGTCCCTTGTGTGTATTTGTCCAGTCAAGTGCCACTAGGTAGACACGAGGGCCAAGATGCTCTCCTCCCCACCAGAAATGGGCCGACAACCGATGACACCTACTGCACACTCACTTAGGGCAGCGTTAGTGGGCGATATTTTTGGCACAAAGAGACTGGGTGACTTGCCACTTACCAAATGCGACCATCGCAGCCATGTAGCCACCCAGGGGCAGCCAAAGCGCGCAAATTTCTTTCTCCCTCCTCGCTCTTTCAAAGAAGAGGGGCTCGCCAAGACAAGCTAGTGAAGGCTGCCCCTAGCATGAGCGAACAAAGCGGCGGCTCGCCGGCGCGAGAGAAGAAAAAACCGACACGAGAGGGCCATCTTCTTGGCATCGCTGGCTCCTGCGAGTGAGCGAGCGAGGAGGCGAGAAGGCGGGAGAGGTTGCACCACCGTCCCCCTGATTAGCGCCGACATGGGCCCCCAGAAACCCACACCTCCCTCGTGACGGCCAGTTGTCGCGAGCCGCGTAGGATTACGGAGTGAGCCTTGGAGTGGGGCTGTTGCCTATCGATCGGGCTGATAGGGAGGTGCGCTGCAGTTGCGACATGAGCCCCAGAACCATTGGTTGAGAGCGCCTGGCTGCGACCCACACCCGCAGGGCCACAAGGGGTTGGGAGAACTTGCTCCAGTCTGCGCGCCCGAATCTAGCGATTGATAATTGCAGGGCAGCTCAACCCAGCAAAAACGTGCCCGCCAGGGCTGGCACAGGCAGCGAAGCTGCTTTCGATATTCGGATCCGATCGGGTCAGACTTTGGGTGCGGGCAGCACGCGCAGCCGACCAGGCGAGGACCCCGTTGATCATCCCGTCCCAACAGCGCCCGCCAGGGGACCACAGGGACCACGCTCAGGGCACCACGCTCTCAAAGCTCGGGTTCCCAGCCGTCATCGAGCCGTCGACCGAATAACAGCCGGTTTCCCAGGTGCTTATTTTTCACACCTAGCGAGTGCAACATGATCCTTCGGGACCCAGAGCCCTGCCTCGCCCAATCTCATTCGTCCATCAGCATCACAAGCTACGCGACGGGTGACGGGTGGCCTCGCTGCAACACGCTCTCATGCACCTGTGCGCGGCCTACGGATGGGGACCGTTCAGCCGCCAAGAGGTTCTCGTACCATCTAATCTTGTGCACCTCATGCTTCAATGCGTGCCACCCACGAGCCCGCTTGGTATGGGGCCGATGCCCGGGCTGGAACTTCCGGGACTCGCTCCCAGGGTCCACCCACATGTTGTGGATTTCCTCGGGCAGTGGTCGCCCCCGTCTGCCTTCCCCAACCGTCAGAAAGGAACCAGGCGTGGGCGTCCGGATCCATCAGCATGCCGTCGAAATCCACCTCTAGACTCCTCAGTCCCTCCCCCAGCAGATTCGCCCCATGGCCCGCAATGTCGACATTGCTGTTGGTCGTTGGTGGACCCAAACCGCCATCATATGGACTCGAGGGTCTGCAGGGCCCAAGACTTTAACATTGAGTAACGGACATCGGGCACCTACTAGAATCGGTCGGTGAGAAAAATAACTTTTGCCTGCTGCCGAGCCTCTTTTGCGCCCTGGAAAAGGATCAAAAAGAGCCTCATTTCATGCCTCTGGCGGGCTATGGACAAGGTTCAGGCGTCTCGCCCACCAACGCCAGCCAACTAACAGCTTTCCCGCACATGGAAAACAAACACCGAGTTTCGGGGTAGACTGGCCACAGTCACTCCTTCATCTCCAACCGCTTGCTCCAGCTCCTGTTGTACAGCCCGTACTCGACCTCACTCTCATCCCCCTCGCGGAGCCCGAGCCCGCCGACACGGCACTCGCGGGGGCTCATGGGCTTAGCGGCGTGGGGCCCGCGCGAGTCGGCAAGCCGCGAGAACACCCCGAGCGCGTTGTTCCGCCCCATGTCGACGAGGTCGGCGGCGCCGACGGCCCGCGCGACGTGCTCGTCGAACCAGACGCACCCGTTGGGGATGCTCTCAAAGGGGTAGTCGACTGAGAACATGACGGCCCTCGCGCCCACCTCGTGCATCGCGCACACTAGCGCCGGCGTCGAGAAGTGCCCCGACGTTGTGATGAAGAGGTTCGTCCCGAAATAGTCGCGCACCAGCTTGTCCCCGGCCATGGGCATCTGCGGGAACCGCGCCCGGTTGAGCTTGTGGTCGATGCGGTAGAGATCATATGGGCTTTGTGACGTGTGCGCGTCCGTGTTCACGTTAGCCGCCTGGGCTTTTCTTTGCCTCTGCCTGTCCGTTGCCGCCCAGTCTCCCTCCGGGCTGGGCGGGCAGGGGTTGTGTGAACCTACATGTGCTCCCCCATGTGACCAATAACTATCTTGAGGCGCGGGAACCGGTCTAGTACCCCGTTGGTTACGATCCCAAGAAGGTGCATCCCCACTCTGTGCGCATAACCCAGCGCCGAGAACGCCAGCCAAGGCCTGCCCCTCCACATCTGCTCCGTGATAAGCGGTGTCGCCTCGCGTGGGTGCAGGTAGACCGGCACGTCGAGCTCCTCGGCCGCGGCCCAGAAGACGTCGTACTCTGGCCCGTCGAAGAAGATCATCTGGTTCTTGTCGTCGGCGGGGCCGGTCTGGTAGTCGTTCAGCATGACGCCCACGAGGCCGCCCCCGGTTGGCCCGCCGCCGTTGTCGCCGAAGCGGCGCCGCAGCTCCCCGGCCGCCTGCGCCGGGTCGTGCATGCTGACCGACGCCAGGCCCGCGAAGCGGCGCGGGTTGCGCGCGACCTCGGCCTCGAGCCTGTCGTTGGCTAGCGACGCCAGCGCCGCCGCCCGGGCCGGGTCGGCCACGCCCTGGGCGCCCGGCGATGAGAGCGAGAGCACCATCAGGTCGATGCCGTTCTCGTTCATCTGCCTCAGCCGCTCCCCGTGCACGTCGAGCAGGTTGGCCACCAAGTCGCCGCCAATGACGCCCTTGGGCGCCAGCTTGGACACGTCATAGGCCTCGAAGTTCTCCTCGATGGCCCACGCCTCCTCGAGGGCGATCTTGCCGTGCATTGCGGCTTTCCGTGTCTCGGTTTACTCTTTCTGGCGCTCGGCCTAGCTCTTTTTTGATGATCCGTGATGTGCAGCATAGTGGCGCCGACGGACTTGACCCTTCTAGTACTCGCCAATGAGTGAGGGTTTTGGCTGCCAGTGTCCGGCGGTACTGTTCCGCAAGGACCATTTCCCCGCATCTCGCTCGGATCCATCCGGTCACACGCCTGGCGGGTCATCCGGCATTGCCATCATCGCATCGCAACCTGACACCAGCCTCC